AGAGGTGGGAGTTCATAAGCAGATGACCTTCCCAGTTGGTCTGATGGGATGATGGGCTCTGCACCTGAGGATTCAGAATCCCAGCCCAAGTCTGTGGCGTTCAGGATCATTGTTTGGTTCAGCAGTCACACCAATAAAACCTAAAGGAGAGAGAAAAAATTGAGAAATACGTTACTATCAGAAAGATGAGTCACTACCACAGCTCCCACATGTCCATCGAACAGCATTTCCAGAAACAGAAGCTGGTGTGGTTTGAGCCACAGGATGCAGGCTGTAGCATCACACAGAGCAGAAGAGCACTTGATGTGCTAATGCGCTGCTTCAAATGCTATAATCTTGTAATCCAACACGGCTGAGCTATTGAGAAACTATCCTACCACTATAAGACCTTCAGATGTTGTCTTCTCCTGCTCTTTGTGATATCATTACCTGCTCCATTTTGGGAAAACAACACAAAAAACTACTTTCCGATAGCTATGTAGAAAAAAGGTAGTTTTGAATCAGAATCAGAATTCTGATTGGGCTGATTTTGAAAGCCCATATAAGGTTTTATTTCTTTAAAAATGATCACTTTTTTTCAATTTTTTTTTAACAGTTACCCAAATCTATGTGTTTGTATTTTGGGACGTCACGAGATTCATCTCGTGACTGGAAGTCTTGTGGGAAGGAGCGAAACTTCCAGTCAACCAATAGGCTATGTATTTTGAATGATTTGGGATAGATATATAATATTTAATTAATCACCAGGCTAACACGTGACTGTAAAAGGTGGGCTCTCATTTGCTGCCCACTGAAAAGAATGAATGAACGGCATCATTTTAAAATAGGATTACAGTTTAAGGCATATGTGCGCGTGGCTATATGTAAACTCGATTTATTATGTAAGCCACAGTCTGGGTTTTCCTCGTGATGCCGCACAGCAGAGGCGCAGAACCTCGAATAAATTCTACGTGCAACATGCATGCACGAGAAAATCTGCGCGGTAAGGATCTTATCAGTTATCTGCTCGCACACATGAAAACAAACTGGACGTCCTGCAGGAACGTTATTAGCGCATTATTTCTGCGCTCCTCGGGCACTGAGTCCCCCCCTACCCCGCGCTCTTTCTTCGTTCCCACAGTGAGGAGGTATATCCCACCTCCTGACGCAGGGGACCCTTAAGTATCATACAAATGCGGGTTCACTGCACCGTAGAGCGTGCCCCCCAACACATGCACGTACCGAGACACGTTTACGAGCATGTACTAAATTCCTCTCACCTTATTTAAACGAGTCAGTCCTCTGAGGGAGTCACACTGATTTTTTTCTCTCTTTCTCCTGTAAGATCCAGCACAGGTGATGGAGCCGAGGTGAGGCTGTTCGCGGTAAGGCTCGACAGCAGGTTTAAATACCGACGGTTCCCGTGTAGACGCAGCTCCGCGTTCCCGTCTTCACCAAAGTTGCGCGAAACTCTCACCTGGCGTCGCTTGCATCTCTCCTTCTTCAAGCTCCCCGAATCGCTCACTGGAGGCAGAATGAATGTTCTTGCGCGCGGGCTCATCCACAAGAGTCTGTCTGACGTCAGTGACTGGGAGCCTCGACCAATCAAGGGACGGCGCCACGGATGCGGGGAGAAGTGGGAGGGGACGTCCATGGAGTAATTTCATTCAGAAAAATGCGGCAGAGCCCCGTCGCCCCTCCCACTGCGGCTCGCTAATGCTTTCATTTCTTGTAAATAACGACCATCGACGGACACACACGTTTTCTCAATAAGACCCAGACCCCTTGCTGAAGGTGAGGATACGAGTTTGTGTTGGGCAGGGCTGGAACTTGGCAGCTGTGAGCGCACAACGCAAAGCGCTGGCGCTGTCCACGGTGCTGAATCTCAGAGTATGACTCATGGGGAGATGTCGTACAGGGTGACAGAGAGCCTGCTGAATGAACGAATGATGGGGAGCAGCTTTAGCACACACTGAACTCTTTTTAAACACAATTTAAATTTATGTAAAGCACATAGGTGAAATATTCTTGAGGGTGAAGTGGTGAAAAACTGGCCTGTGCGTGCATGGTTGCACTAATAGAGATATGGGTATACTAATATGGAGTGCTGGGTAAAATTCAAGAAGTATTATACACTAAAACTGTTTTCAAAATAACATCAGCATACATACATATTATATATGTAGAAAGATAAATAGATATATAGATATAACTTGTCTTTATGAGCCTCGCACAGCCTCATAATCATTTAGAAATCTTCTAAGAGGATTGAGCATTTGTGTTTAGGCCGTGGGTGGTGAGTTTTCCTACAATCCAGCAAAGACAGGAATCAGTCGTATATTTTGCTTGTTATCCACCGTATTTGTCTCGTCTTTTTTTGATTTTTAGTATCGCTTCACAGAAATACACGCCCCCACCTCCCCTACAGTAATACAGCAGCAGGGGATTCGTGGCTTCCCCCGGTTTGACACGAAGCGTAGGACGCTACAGGCTGGGCTCAACAGCTGTCTGCGTGGTGGCGCACGGCGCTGAGCTAACTGGGGGAATCTCGTCTTGTTCGAGCCATATTAGGACACGCTTCCTGTCGATACACCCCTCCTACGTCACCGAGCAGAGTTGAGGCGCAACACTTGTCACCTTCGTAAATGTCGCCGGTATTAAGCAGCTTCTACAAATTTCTGCAGAATCACGGCTGCTCTGCTCATGTTACCCACTTCTTTTTACACAGCATTAAACTATTTTGTTAAAATATTAACTGTGCTTTACATTAATGTAAAACACTTAATAATTATAGATTATTTGTGTGTGCGTGCCACCCTGTCCTTTATGTTATTATGTCATGTATATCTTTTCTAATACTAGCAGTGCTCCGTGGAGTGTAAACTAGTCTGTGGCCGGTGTTGTAGATTGCTTGCCCACAGCGGAGGAGAAAATCGTGTGGAACAGGATTGCGGAATATCCCTTTGTGTGTGTGTTTTCTTTGCTTCCTAACACACACGAGCCACTCTGAAGAAAGATCTACCCAGACAATGGGTGCCAGAGCATATGAGATGTGGGAGTTAAAGGAGCCACGTCGGTGTGAGTGGAGGAGGTGGCGATCATTGCATAAAGCTGCAAAGTTTTGTAATGATCCTGGACTCGGTGCACGTTTTTTTTTTCCCCTGCGGCCTGATTGGGGGCTGTGACTCAGTGCATCTGCATCACAAAGCGACAACTTAAAAGGTCGGAAGCACTTGTGCAGTTTGTGCTGATGCATTTGCCCAGCTGCACGTTGCGGAGCCTCTTATAAAAAGCAAAACCTGAGCACCTTTGTGCTCTGAGCTAACCCCATGCGCCACAGGTTTTTGGAAATGACGCAATTTTTTGTAATGTTACCTTTCTGTACATCACAGTCGCTTTAAAATCAAACAACCAGGATGTGATTCAGATGCAGAGTCTGAGCTTTACATCAAATGGTTTAACGAACATGAAACAGTCTGAAGTCTAGAACACCTGGGCATCATGGACAGATTCTCTGTCTTTAGATGATGTGAAGGGTTTTTCTTAATCAGATGAGGGGTTTTTTTTGCTTTTCAGGCCTTTTTGTGTAGCCGAGAAGGTCAGTTGTTGATTTGTCCTGTCCTATAAGGATTTTGATATTTCTCTAACAAGACTATTTGGTTTTTCAGCCTTACCTCCATCACCTACATCTATGTCTCTTTGGACCTCATGGAATAACCAGGAAACATTGCTTAATTGCTGTTGAAACTGCTTATATCATGCAATACTTTTGTTAAACCACTTGAAGTAAAGCTCAAAGTCTGCCCCTCATTTACATCTGGATTGTTGGATTAAAAAACAAAACATACTGCCGTGATTTGTAGACAAACAGAAAATGTGTCATTGTCCAAAATCCCATATGGACTTCACTGTAGTTTCAAACAGTAATGCTCAATACTCACGTCTGGCCCTTTACATCCAGATCCAGCTTTACCAATAGGAATGTGCGATTTAACTGTAACCTCTTCAGCTTTTACAACTAATCACACATTAAGAGTAACATTACTACAAACATCCCGATCTAGGCTAGTGTCACAGAGTGTTACAATGGTTTTCTTTGTCTCTTTCTTTACATTTATCTGGGATATTTTATATTTATTTGCACAGATAAAGTACAAGAAACATATTCTATCAATAGGTGGGTGGTGATGCTTAAAAGGTATACAGTAAAAAAGTTTTTAAAAAAAATCTTAATTTCATCACCGAGGTAAAAATGTGAGTACAGAATAGATGAAAAGCCAATGTACTTTTTTAGCAGAAGCCTGTTGGAAATCTTTAAAGGGATATGAAGACCTTATTAGCTCTTGTTAGATCTAGATCAAGGTCTATTAAACCTTCCTCTACTTGACTTGTATTGCTGTAAGTATGAATAACATGAATTAGCATGAATTCATTTTTGAAGCTGTTCATTTTTTGAATGTTTTGGGGGATCTGGGTAGATAAAAGAATCTCAATAAGTCACAAAAGACATTGAAGGAATGAATTTTAGCTACAATAGCAACATAAACCTCAGGTTTAAAAGGTCAGCAGCATTTTTCAGCTATTTTATTCTTGATATCTTCATGGGCATTACATGACATTTGGTGCCGATGAAGCTGACTGCAAGTGACTTTGATGATCACCCTTTTTATGATGTTGAAATATCAACATCTGTTTAACAGAAGCGTAGACATTCAAGGTCCCCACAACATGGATTTTAGAAAATTTAACAAAGCAGGCAACCACATCGCTAAATCCAGAGTTTCAACAGGGAAAACAAAGAACCTTGTCATGCGTTTAAGTGCAGGTAACATCAAAATGAACACTAATTTAGCTCAGTTTATTCCCATTAGTCCTTCTTTAATTTATAGGCTTCATAAGGACATATATGTGAATGAAGGTGTGTATACATTCACCGCCTGCTTAGGTAAACAGGTGTCAGTCCGTTCCAACTGGCATGCATTTCAGGTGGCTTGAGGTGGGCCAGTTGGTTGCCAGGGAACCAAGTTTAGTGGCGCTCATGTTACACAGATCTCCTCACTCCTATCTGTCATTGTGTCCTGGTTATCATCACCTCCAGAAACCCTTTCGAGGACAAGCTGAGGAGACTTCAATTCAAAGCCTTTTTTTAGTTTTTAAAATCAACTCCCTTTTAAGTGCCAACGTTTCCAGGTGTTGCTCGCAGGTGTCTGTTGCAGTCAGGATGCAGCTGGTGGCATTTACTGTTCTCTCCTCCACTCTGCTGCTTCTAGCAGTGATCCATTCTGTGTATCTACAGCCAGGTATGGGTCTATCCGTATGTTTTATTTTCTTACAGCGTGTCCATTTCAGTATATTTTGCTCTGAACCTGCTTGTGTGTCTTCCTAAGCTTGCCATCTGCTGTCTATTTTCGTGCTTTAATCTGTTGTCTTTCCTCATTAATGTCTCACTTCTTATTTACTGGTAAGATGGCTTTTTGTCTATTATTACTAACACACCACGAAGCAGCACAAATAAGAGAGTTTAACAGGAAGCAATTATCTTTTTCTTATCATCATAAACTTCTGCATTCTCAGATACTGTCCAAACTAACAGGATATCATATAATAATGAAGCTGCTTCAGAATAACTGGGCACTGGCCAGCCAGCTGGGTTTTGATTGACACTGCTAATTAACTGCCAGTGTTGTCCCTCCTACAGATTGTTCTCAAGCCGAGTCATGTGACCTGTGTGTCGGCGATTCCATGCTCAACCTGACAGGCTGTGTCTGGAGGCTTTGTCCAAATGGTGACACACACACACACACACACACACACACACACACACACACACACACACACACACACACACACACACACACACACACACGTGACCTCTGATAGTAATTCAATCACCAATGCTGCTGTAACACTAGCTCCCCTGGTTTGTAGAAGATCACTGAATTATTGAGTGATGCCGGGGTCTGTCTCCCTCAGGCAATGATACAGGCATGTGTGTGACCGATGAAGGGGATTCGGCAGACAACGGCATGAACTGCAGCTGGACCAGAGTGCCTGAATTGTGCACAGGTATTAAAAAAATGAACATAATTTTGGGGGAGATGATATCAAGTGTTTTTCTGCCATCTTCATAACCCTGTTACATAATTCATTCCCCAGTTGTAGAGTCTGTCGCTGCGGGAGGTGGTAAAACCGTTTCAGGTAAACTGAATCAACTCTGCTTCAGACGTCATCTCCTAGTCCCATAACAGCTGACTAAAAGATTCCCTAAAGGCAATCCAGTCATCTCCACCCGCTAAAAACCCTGACAGCACTTTATAAATATATATATATATATAAAACAACCAGTGAATTCTGTGTCCTTTCCCTCAAGGTGATGACAGCAACACCAACTCCTCCCCCGAGTTCTCCCAGGCCAAGTTCGACATGTCCAGCTTCATAGGCGGCATCATACTCGTGCTGTGTCTGCAGGCAGGCGGATTCTTCGCCATGCGCTTCCTCAAATCCAAAGAGCAGAGCAGCTACGACCCCATGTGAGTTTATGCGCGGAGGTGTTGGAGAACACAGAATCTCACGCGTTTGTGCGAAACGTGTTAAGTGCAACAGCAGCCTCTGGTGGCAGGAATCGTCAACAACACACGATGCACAGCGCAAACGGTTCACCTTCAGCATCTCTGCCTGTCTTGTTTTGATTCTGATCACACACACTTTCCATCTGTCTATACACACTCTTCTGTCTGTCTTCATGCAGAGAGCAGCCACAGTGAAGACAAGATAAATGACGGACAAGCAGACGGTGCAGAGAAGGACAGCAGAACGGTGACTCATCTGGTTATGACGACAAGAATTTTTTTTCCTCTCCCTTTTCCCCCTGTCGTTTTTTGGTCTGGTCCCTGTGTGTACCCCCTGGGGGATGGGTGTGTTTGTACGAGGACATATTCCCAAAATACTGCATTGTGTAACAAGTGTCTGTGCATGAGCTCACTGCAGTATTTACAGTTCACGATCAGTGTGTTAGATGCACGATCAAGCAAGACTTTGATTTCTGCAGAATTTTATGCAACTGCTTTGTGATCATACAATTCACCTTCCACCTTAAATTACAGTAATTTAAGTGTTTATACTGTTATAAATAGTGTGGTGCAGTTATATTATTAAATTTAGGCTGTAGTTCAGACAAGGTCACAACAAACATTTTATCCATCGTCTTTGAGTACATTTCTGTTCATGTGCATTTTGATAACTTTCTAGAGTTTTTTTTTGAAACAAAAATAACCAAATGTTAACCTGTAATGTATGAAATTATTGATTAATATAATATAAATATAGTAACTAAGGTCCTAAAGTCCACTCACAGGCTGTTATACCTCTTTCCGTCAAGTTGCAGTGAGTGTTTGTGCTGCTGCGGATGCAGGGAGACGCCTTCCTTTGGTGCCTTTTGGAAAAAAAAAAAAAAGTAATCCTACATTTTAAATGGTTTGAGGAGTGATTACATAGCTTTACTAGCAGTGATGCTTCTTCTATTTCCATGAGAAGAAAATCATGCAGGCTGCTTCATTCACCAGTTATTGTTTAAACATTTTCAGCAGGTCCTTGTATAGCCACTGACATCACTGCTTCCAGCTTTGGGGTCGGCTGTTTTATGGTGGCCTGCTACTGCCAGTCTTATTTTAGTGGGGGGAAAAATAAGCTACAGCTCGGACACCTGCACCTCACTGATGGAAAGGAAGTGTTAGAGATAACAACTGTGATAACAACCTGTGAACCACTGAGAAAGACACACCATAACCTAAAACCTGAGCCCTAATAGCAGAGTCAGGATTTCAATCTTTATAAAAACCTCCAGTAATGACTCTAGTGGTGCATTACTTTTATTTTGATGCTCTTACTGTCAGTAGTTCAGACAAACCCAACGTGGTAGTCATGGAGAAGAACTCTGACTTGATTTCTCAGATTTATAATAAAGTTTGAACCATTTGATTGCTGTTATAAAACAGCTGACATAGACGTGATCCTGTTTAAATAATACTAATGTTGGTTAAACTCATTAATATGAGCTGTTTGATTTTTTTGTGATGACACTGGATTTCCTGAATAAACTAGGAATAAGAAGAGGTGTCTCTCAGTGTGTTTGGTATGTCTTTGCTTTCTTGCATTTAAATATGCAAACACAACTCGTGGTTCTTGAGTACTTAAAGGTAGAACACTGTTACCATGTTCTCACAAGGGTCATGTGATTGTTTGGGTTTTCACCTTAAATATGAAGCAGCTTGAGGCGTCCGAGGTGTGATTTAGCACTATATAAATAAAATAGAACTGGGCAGAAGAACTGAACTATGATCTGCTTAAGACCAAGGACCTGTTAATAAAAATGACCTGTCCATGTACCATATCTGGGTGTCAGTATGGACCCCAGTATTTGGCACTAACAGAGCACTGATGGGACTCTTTAGGGGAGCAGAGCGAGGGCTGGTTGGATGCTTTGGTCTCTGTCTGAGCCAGGACCTATACAGGCTTGAATAAGTCCACACAAAAAAGCTTTCCCCATCTGAGGAGACTGTGGCTGTCATCCAAGTTTGGTGACAAAGGACAGAACTGGGCCTTTTTCTTTCTTTCATCCTCTCCTACCCTCCCCCCTCTGCCTTGCACACACTCACACAATGCAGTTCCACTGAGGGAAAGGGAAGTCCAACACCTTACCAAATTCAAACCGAAGCTGGTTACACGTACGGGTCTGTGTTCCTCTTCGAAACAGGCAGAAGGCTCGATATCTGCGTGCTTGTTTGTGCACAGTAAGGCCAGGTAGGCAAGAGTGTGTGTGCTTAGCAGGTGTGGACAGCTACAAGATACATCCCACCTCCACCCTGCAGTTTGGTAAAACATCCGCGTGAGTCATATCACACAGTCAGACAAATACACAGTATGAGCACATACACACACACCTTCGCAGCTGAGAGCAGCTCCTGTGCGGACTAATTCTGGAGGGCGTGTTCACTCCGTTTACTCAGCACACAAGCGTCGACGTACACAGACAAACACATCGCACTGAGGAAAACTTTTCCTGAGAACTTTTCCCCCCGATGGAACCAGTGGAAGCTGTCAAATAAGGTAACCCGGTTTTTCTTTCGTGTGTTTCTTTCTGTGTTTCTAACAGAAGGGAGAGGAGAGAGTTTAATCTTTAATCTTTAAAGGGAAAAGTTGCGACAGGTGTTTCCTCTCTCGCGGTAGATTCGTAATGAGAAGAAGTGCACTGACCTATTTCTTTTCCCCCTAAAGGGCACTTCGCGTAAATAAATAAGCCTAAATAATTAAACCCATTAACAGTCTTAAAAGCAAGTGTTCAGTCACTTTTAGAGGTTTAAACCTATATAACAATAAAAAACACCAAAGGAGTGCTTTATGGAGGAACTATTGATAAGAACAACAACGTTGTTATTAATATTACTCTGCGTGTTTTGTGAAAACTGGAGCACTTTGTGCGTGGCGTTTTCTAACCTACCCGTTGACAGGCGAACACGTTCCTGACGCGCATGCGTTAACTTCTCAAAAGTAACTAGCCTTAGGCGTTGGGGACATGAAAACTCATTAACAGTTATTACATGGTGGTGCAGAAGGTTAGATCATCCATCTCGGCCTCACATTAGCTGAAAGTGAATTCAGTAGTAGGTTGTTATTAATCTTTTTGAATGTAGTTTTTTAGGCTGTCTACAGTAGAGTACTTAAGAGTAGGAGGGAGTGAAAGTCATTGAAGACAGGAAAGGCTCACCTGGAACAGCATGTATCAAAGCTTCAAAGAGTACTGCATCCTGAAAGATACCAGGGAGCTCGCTTCAGGTGATTTAAAGAAAAGAAGAAACAGCTTTATTATAGGTTTCCTCTTAAGCATTTCTCTACTATGTTTCATGTAAATGACAATTTGTGCAGTTTGTAACCTTCAGACCTCTTTGAGCAAAGTAATGTCATCATTAACCAAATTTTACATGTGGGGGGGAAAAAAAGTTTACAGGACTCGGCTCAGTCCTTTAAAAACAAAAAGTACACCCTATGATTAAACCACTTGTAGAAATACCTTTAGCAGTATTAACTTAAGGTGATTATTTCTGTGTGACATATTCCCCCACAAAGGGTCAACATATGTGGATGAATTCGGTCCACTCTTCTTACACAACATCATCAGCATTGCTTCAACGTATTGTGGTTTGCAGGCTCTCTTTGATGCACAGCTATGTCGCCACAACATTTCAATCAGGTTAAGGTCTAGACTTTGACTGGGCCATTGCATCACCTCGATTCATTTCCTTTTCAGTTGTTCTGCTGTAGATTTGCTATATTTGACATGAATATTTCGGTTATACAAAGGGGCTCGTGGTCAGCTCAATGACTGTGAGGTGCCCAGGTCCTGTGGCTGAGAACCACGCCCAAAACATCCCCCCACTTCACCACCTGCTGACAGCTAGTATGAGGTGTTTGGTTGTCATGTCCCCCAAAAGGGCCAAGAGGATGAGGAGTAACAATAGTAAGTCCAGGAGGAAAAAGAAAAGACAAAAAACCTTTATTAAAAAGGACTTAAAGAGATGGCTACACTATAACAATCAAACAAATATGTCAACAAACTAAAACACGCTGAAAAGAAAGGAAATCATTAACAAACCAAAGAAAAACACAGCTGCTGTCAGCAGCTACTCACTGGTAGCTCAAACACACCACTAAATGCTCTGTAACAGCACACCTAAAACCAGTAATTTGCAGCTGGGGGGGAAACAGCTACTTACTGGTACCTCAAACCCCACACCTAAGCTGTGGGGTTTGAGCAGCACTCACTCTGAGTGACTAAGTAGGCCGTCACCAGCTTTTATGCAGGTGGGTGGTTAATTGCTGAGTGGAGCCAGCTGTGCACCAGCTCCTCAGAAGAAATGGGTGGCAGCTGAAGTCAGAAGGAAAGGAAAACAGGACACACACGCAAAGTTTGCTAGGGCGTGACAGTAGTGCTGTGCATCGTGGCTAAACACTTTGGCGTTGTCTCTTTAAAGGACATTGTTTCAGAGGTCTTGTGGTTTATTTAGAACTTTGCAAACCTAATCTGTGCTGCCACGTTCTTCTTAGAGATAAGAAGATACGTCCTGTTTAACACTGTCATGAATTTAACATTTAACATGCTAACTGTGGCTGTAGCTCTTGGGTTTTCTGCAGTTTCTCTGAGCATTACATGGCCTGACCTTGAACTTCATTTGATGGGACATCCACTCCAGTGAAGAACGTGGCATTGTGTTAGCATAGAAGTAAAGAGCAGCAAACTTCCCAAACTTGTGCTTTTAAAGAGGCACTCACACTTACTGATAATCATAAATGAAGTGCATTTGATTAGCAGGACCTGGCTGCTGATTACCTTCTTAATTCCAATGGGAACAGCAAGATGTACTTAGTGTTTTATAGGAATGTGAACTTTCTTTTTCAAATGACTTTAACCAGACAAACCTTCATTACTGTTAAGAGGGAAAAAAATCTGGAAGGCTAGTTTGCCGAATTTTCTTTTTTCAATGCACTGAAATGAAGAAAAAGAAACAAAAGTTTTTGTAGAACAGTGGATTTTAAATGTATTATAATGAACCTGATATATTGCACATTCATGTTATGTTCTAATCTCAATGTCTAATGAAAGCAGTAAGACTGTACTGTTGACTGTACTGCACTATTTGTGTTGTGTAATGATAGTCAAACACACTTTTGTCTTAGGGATGGAAGGAAGGCAGGGAGACTCCTCACTTGACTTGAGCCACCTGACGGAGGAGGAGCAGACCTCCATCCTGCAGGTTGTACAGCGTGACTTGGAGTTACGTCTCCGTGATGAAGGACGTGTAAGGTCAGAGGTGACTATTTATTCAAGTCTGACTGATATGTGTGCTAATCTCTTCGGATGTTTGTAACCGTATGGGTGGGATTGGTCCTCAGGCATATATTACTTTCTTTGGTGTTGGTGCAAAATCTCCCTTTAGTGTTCAGGGCAAGTAAGACACAGTTGGTGATCAATTATAATTATTTCCTTACCCTTCGTTACATGTTTTTATCAATTTTTTTTGCCATAACTTTTAATTAAGCTGCTTTGAATATCAGGTGTTACAAAGAGTGTCTCTCTGTTGATGATGCAGAACCCTCGAGCAGAGAGAGACGAACTCAACCCGTCTGCGCTTCCTGT